GGGGGGAGTGAGCGAGCGGCTGTGTGGGGCTTAGTTGGCAGCTGAGGTTAAACCACAACAGAAAGTTAACTTTTACAAATGCTGATTACAACTGAACAGGGAAAGGGTTTCCACCTAAAGTCTCAGAAGAAACAGTAAGTATTGCTTGCTCTATTTTGCACAACACGCATTGAAAAAGAAAGGAAACAGTATCAGAAGGCAATTAGGCCTTGCTCTCATCATTAGATGATGTGCGCTGACAGTTTTACCAGCTACAGTGGAAATGTTTTTCTATTTTTGCAATACAAATGGTTGTGCTGCAGGGGGTTCATTAACATACTCAAGAAAAACAGCAGGTCTACTTCCAAGAAAACATGCAGACTAAATGACATTATCTGATCTAATCAAGCTAAGGACTGGTCTGTGGAGGAGGCCTCCAAATGACAACAGCAACAAAAAGGCTTTTTCCTGAACAAAAAGAAGCATTGCAGAACTGCCTGGAATGGGGAGTGTTCACAGAGAGACTATCCTTAGCCTAATTCTAAGGTTAGCAATAAGCTCTCATGCTTCCTCTTCTTCCAGGATGAAGCACATTGTGTAAGGCAAGCCAGGTAACCATTCTACTCTCTTCTTGGTACTTTTATTATCCTACAGTCTCTTTTTCTTCCCTTTTTAATCCAGCAGAAGGGCTAACTTTCTTCCTCTTTCCCAGAAGGAAAAAGTGCAGGCTAATTATTATTTTGAGCATCCCTTTGGTTTTGCATTTATTATTTTTCAAAATGGCGGGGAGAGCAAGAAAGAATAGAGGCTAAACCTAGTAATTATTTCCAGAAAATCAAGGAAGGACTAATTTGGGGAAGAGAGTGGCCTTGCTTGTGAGTCACCTAATTATACCCTTGCACTGCAATCTCTCATGACATGCATATACAACAACATCTGAAAACATCCCACTTACATGCTAAAGTGAATGGCTAATGATCAAGTCTTAGTCCTCACAGTTCCTAGTCTTACCTGCTCTACTCACCTGTAATGCAACACAGCCAAATCCGTTTGGTCATGGCTGTGATGAGCGAGTGATTTTGCAAATCAGAGTTTTATGTCCATGGTAAAAACAAAAGCCATTTTCCTGACAGTACAGAAGAACCATAATTTTCTGTTGTTAACTAATTTAAATGTTCAATTTTGGTAAGCTTGTGTTGATATACAAAAGACGACTGAAAAATTATGAATAGTTGTCTTGCATGCTTACTTGTCTATGCACTGATTCCTGCATGACTCACAAGGATTTATTCTCAATACAAACCCCTTCCTTTGGAAATGCAAAAACCAAACAGATTCTTTTAACATAGACAACTTGGGTGACCCTATGGTGGGTACAGCAAGTATTATGCTGGCAGAGTTCCACTGACTTACTAGATGGATGTAAGGTTTCATTGTCCGGCCCACTGATCAACAACATCCTCAAGTCAAGAAAGATGTCTACATTATGTGTATGCATCTATATAATAAAGACTACTGTCGCATTGCTGGAACTTCTTGACTAGATCTTACCAGATCCTGTACACAGAGAAGCCAGAAATTAAGAGAAGACACAGAGTCATACTTCTTAAGTATCTTTTTGTGTCATCACTGACACCAATGATATAGTTGTGAAAATCTCGTTCTAATCTAGTGGCATTTTCTTATCCACATTGGAGTTGACAGTAGCACAAAATAAAAGCACTGGGGTGTAAGACTCCCTGGGGATTAAAGTATTTTTTAAATGGTGTAAAACCACTGTGAAAGTAAAAATAAGCTGGAAATACTGTATTCTGATACAATGGAGGAAAGAAATTAAACCAACCAGTAACAGTGTCATTGTCTGGTTTTTCCCAGTCCAATATGACGAAAGTTGGACAGCCCTCAACAGTCACCACTGTGAGGTTGGTTGGAGGATTTTGTGGAGGACGAGTAGGTTCTTCCTTGCTGCCAGCTTCTTCTTGAGGAAAATGTTCAAGAGAGCTTGTGATAGAGCAAGGCACATCATCATCTTTCTTCATGTACTTGACATGGGGGGCTAAGAGCAATAGGAAAGAGGTGGTGTTCAATACAGAGTGTTTTTACAAAATGTCAATGTGATTTCGCCTAGTGCACAACTTCCATCTCAGGACACCAACTAAAAATCTGCACAACAAGTCAAACATAAATGTTTAAGAATAGCAACCATATACTCAATATTAAGCTGCTTGTTGGGGTTTTTTTATTGTTGTTACACCTGGAATCTGCACTGCCTTCACCCCTTTCCCATTGGCACCACGGATGAAATAACACTCTGAAGGTATTAGTGGGTGATACACACTGTTTGAAAGAATTATCTTCTGTCATAAAATAGGACAATTAATTTTAGTCCTTCTTAGTACAATGACACTACAATTCCATTTGCAGCTTTTGAGCGCTATGCTAATACAACGATGTAATGCCCATCACCACTTTGTTTCACTGGAAAGACTAACAAGTTTAGTCCAGAGTCATTCCATCATTAAACTTGCAGTTTCTAAAGTGACTGTCAAAATCTTAACCATTTTCAGTGGTACAGGACCAAACCTTGAAACAAACCCTCTGAGGCAAATATCTTGTACTCTGCATCAAAATTAGGAAGATTACTGAAGAAAAACACACTAGTTCTAAAATTAAAACTTCTATTGGATGTAAACAATAAGTTCTTGCAAGAAAGACAGGGTCTTCAGAAATGTAGTGTCTCTTACCAGACTAAGAAAAAAACCCTGAAAAATCTTTTGGTACAAAAGCACTTCTTCCTGCCATCTCACCTTGCTAAACTCTCTAGATTACTGCAACAGCAAAAACTTGCCTACTTTATCATCTAGTCTAGTATATGTTACCATATTACTAGACTATCTGAATATGCACAGCATGGAATGAGAGGTGAGGCATATATGATGGGTAGATATCCCGTATGGTAAGGTGCGCTGGTATTGGGGCAATACCTCTCCAGGTAGGCTTGCAAGCCCACAGGAAGATTTTCATTTGGTTTGGTGGAATGTGAACAGTGTGTAGTTGTACTACTGCTGGCATACATGAACAGCCACAACATGTTTGTGGGCAAGACGGTAAACTAGGAGGTGGTCGCAGGGAAGAAAGTAGAAGTAAAATTTAGTCAAGAATTTGCTGATGGTCTGCACTACAGCCCTTTCATCTGACACTAAAGTGAAACAGAATCAAATGAAGTTTTGGCCTTTGAATAACCAAACAAGATAATTTTGATGCAAGATAGGTCAGTCTTCATATATTCCCCTGAATAAAAATACCATAGCTAGTAAAATCCTACCTTGGTACCTTGGTTTGCCTGAAGAATCTGTTTCTGATGTAGGACTTGAGCTGAAGACAGTTGCATCAACTGTGGGAAACACAGTTATAATTTAATTTGCAATAAATACTAAGTTTCAGTGTTAGAACTGCAGCATTTCACAGTTCATTTGGCATTTTAAATCATGATAAAGCTCTTCCATGGTAGACCTTTGCTGCCAGATCTGTCTTTTCCTTTTAAGGACTCCTTTTGGCTGTGATGCTAAGTAAACCCCATACTTACCTGCTAGTATAAAGATAGCTATAATCAAAATGACAGACTTCGTGACTGCTGCTGGATTCAGTTCATGTAATACACGCAAAATGCTCTTTAGACCTTTTAAAAAGGATCTTTTTGCACTGTACTGGCTGTTTTGCTTGGAGCTTCGTTCATGTTCATAGAATATATAGCACTATTATGTTGGCACATGAACTTCTCTAAAAATAGCGACAAGGAAATCACAAATACACTGGTGAACAGAAATGTGCTAAAGCAGTCAGGATTCATGACACCAGCGTTGTGTTAAATAGCCACTATACTGAACAGAATCTTCTCTTAGATGCAAATACTACAATGGACTTCAATGGACAAAACACAATATATTCACAACAAGCATTTTTTAATAAATCTAGCAACCCATTCCTGTATGCCAGTTTGAGGAGATTTAGGTCTGAACTTGTAGTTAACTCCCAATTTTATAAAGGGCAAATTACCAACTAACCGCTATGTTTACCTTACTACATTTTTTTCTACTTAAATGATGGCACTTTGATCAGATAGCTAGGAGGATATCACAACCATGTTAAGCACCATCAGTCACTGTCAAATAATAATTTGAATTTATGTCCTGTGCAAAAAGAAATGTTCAGGAAAAGAAGTGCCTTATCTACTCCCTTCACAGACTTAAAGCAGTCACTGCATAGTATTGAAAGCCTACTAAGCATGTATTGGTTTCTAGGAAGATGGAAGGGCCGTCATGTTCTCATTTACCAAGGTGTGTATCAGAAGACAGCCAGATGAACTCAGTCAAGTTAGAAAAGTCACAAAGTGGTATAAAGGAAATCAGAATCACCCCAGACAGAATACTTCTTATATTAAATATACAATGCATCAATATAGTTTAGGGAAGAGAAGCAAAAGGAAAAAAGGAAACCTTTATGTTCACGGAAAAAAAAAAAAAAGAAAAAAACTAAATCAGAACTGTCTGTAATATGCTTACCATAATACTCTGGAGTTGCAAAAGCTGTTGGCATCTTATATGACGTTCCTGTCCTCACAGGTGGTGTTGGTCCAGCGGGTTTAGCTATAGTGATGGAAGGAGGAACTTGTGGCAACAAGGCATTCACTATTTAAAAGAGTGAAACAGCTTTCTGATTTTCTAACAGAACTCAGATTTGTGACACCTGCTTCATGAAACAAGTACCTTCATTTAAACTATGATATTACCTCAAAACTTATACAACAGCTTCCAGTTGGATTTAGGAAAGTTCCAAATTGTCCTTATTGCCAATATAACCTACTCCTGAAACCCAGTAAGAAAATTCTTTGCTACTTGGAGATTGTCTTGGAGGACTTCAGTGAGCTAGAATATGACCTGGTTTAATGCACAGAACCATCCTACACAGACTGGTAAAAGGATGCAAAATGACCAGCACTGACTTTTGTGTTTCTCAAATAAAAGAGCACATTTCTTCATGAGTTTTAAGACAGAATAGCTGAAGTCAGCAACTGAAACTTGGTTTCTTCCCGCAAATATAGGTAAGGTCCTTTCATTTCTACTCTCAATACACCATATATATTAGCAAGGCTGGAGCTTGTACGATGATAAACACTGAGTCCTTCACTATGGTCTGCATTAAGAGTTTAACCACAGAACAGTACTGGAGCTTCCACTAAATGAAATTAAGATGCACTTCAAATGAAGGTAAGAAAAATGCAACCAAGTCCAACATTTTCAACATTACTAACACTACCTGACCCAAGGGAAAAAGCCTTCTTTCTGAACCGACCTGTTCTGTAGTAGGCACCATAAGTTTGGACAGAAACTGATTGATAGAGGCAATATTATCTCCCATAATTAAATAGCTATTTTAAACATTATTTTAGATTATGTGACACTGCTTTTACTCCTCAGCTGTTATCACCTAATAAAGAAAACAGGTTTCTAAGAGGCAAGCAATCCATGGTAAAGGATGTCTCGAGTGTTTTCAAATAGCTGTAAAAGACAAGAACCACATTCACAAAACATGCAGATACTCCCAGATAACCACTGCATGACTCTAAAATCTCAACCCCCAAAAAGTCAAGAACTACATAATGTAGTTACCTTCCCTGCATACATGACACAGAAGAACATGATGACTGAAGGCAGAACTCTGGTGAACCAAGTTTAAAATAACAAAAATCCCTACCTGCCATTAATTTCCTTAATAAAGTGGAAATTTATTAAGATTCTCACTGGAGTCCAGTTTCACAAAATTTCTGGAACTCTCTTGTTTCCTTTTTTTCCATTCAAGGGACTTCTAATGTCTGCATACAAACCTTCCCATAATACTCATCCACTGGATGAGTAAGAAAGATGCAAGTAAGGAATTAATCACAGTATTAATGAGAAAGAGAAACAGGACAGAATTATGAAAGGGAAAATCCAACAAGAACATTGAGGCAAATTTTTCCTGTTAGTACTGTGGAACAGTCTCTCCAGGGAATCAAAAGAAACTCAATTATGATGTTTAAAACTAAGCTGGATAAAACACTAGGAAACACAGAAAAAGGAGAGTCTGCTACTGGCCCCACCAGGAAGAACCAGATCATCTAACCAATTTATTCCATCTTGAATGCCTAGGAAGGTATGGTAACTGCTGACTACCACATAACCTGGCCTCTAGTGTACGGAAAAAGGGTGAAATTTCAAAACACTGGTAAATGAATTAGACACTTAATGGAGAAAATTAGCATAGACCCCATTACAAGGAAAAGAAAATGTATCAGGTCAACATTTTTTTATGCTACAGCTTAAGACTGACAATGTCTTATGTTCTGTTGTAGCTATTACTAAGGAAACACCACCAATCAACAGCAAGTACAGACACAACATTTCTATCTTGGCTCTCCTGTTAAGTAAATATACAGCTTGTTTCATCCAGCTTGGAGATTCTTGCTTCTAATCTGCCGCACAAAATACTAAAGAATTATTTAAGCCTTTAGTGCCTTAAGAGCACACAAAGCCCCAAATGAAACAAACCAAAAAAAGCCAACAGGAAATACAGCAGAGCCAAGACCTTTATATTTCCAGTGAACTACAGAGAGTAATATGAAGAGGGAAGCATTTCTCATGATGCTAAGCATAATGAGATGATAGTTTCTGACTACCTGGAATAACATTAGCCTAAGGATTCTTCTATAGAATCCACAGACAAAACATACATAAGGATACTGAATATCAGCTTCAGGATAAAATTAAAATAAAATAGGAAATGTGAAAGTTTCTGTGTGCTCTTATACTGATACTGAGAAGCAGGAATAATGTAGCATAGGAATGAAGCTAAACTCTTTGCACATGAAATAACTCAGCTCACTCTACCTCCCAGTGCAGTTAGTTTTCTGGGTGCCTATTAGCTCATTATTTGCAGTGGTTAATGGATGTGCCATATATATGAGACAGAATTTCTTTACAAATAACCAGTTGAGAGTATGCATTGAAGCATAATATTCAATATCTCCCATCTGACACGCACATTAAGTAACTGCAAATGCTATTAGTAGACATGAAATGTTCTTAAGGTTGATTTTCTTAAAGGATGACTTGCATTATGCTATTTTGCTTTCAGCTCCCTAGGGATGATTTTGACGTAACTAGGTTAGGAAAACAAAAGGAAAACAGAGTTTATGTATGAAGACAAAAGACACAAGGCCTGTATGTTCCAGAAGACTAGTGTCTATAGATATCACAGATTAAAGAAAAAGAATCTATGCTATAAAATTCTGCTATACACGCTAATCAGTTCAGTATTGTCTCACACATAATAAAATACTTATGCTGAAAAGGCTGAGATACCTGGACTCCCTGGTTTACCAGTCACGGTGTTTGGAGGCAGAGGTTTTCTTCGCATTTGTGTAGGCTTGACAGGAGGTATAGGAGGATGCTGAGGGCCAGGTGATGTAGTTACTGAATGACATTACAAGACAGTGTAATTAATTATTTAACCTCAAGTTCCATAAAATCAGAAACCCATTACAAGTTATATTCTGACTTCTCAAACAATGTTTCAGGTCTGATTTAGTATCAAAAGCAGAGAGATGAGGTTAGGAGCTGAAATGAGTTGTATTTTCAGCCTTAAATTCTTTGGGAAGTGTGTGCCATGGAGTTTTAAACCAAGCTTACACTGAAAAAATGTAGCTCCTTTGGGATTTTGTACAAGTGTTTCAGTGATTCATTTTCTGTGGAGTTACTCATTTCTGTCAACAGTAATTTTTTGGCAGCCAACAGGATACTTCTTCCCACAATAAACACCACCTCAGTGTACTTGGAAACATCTTCAGTACCCTACTCACAAAATTCCTGATCTTCTCTAACTGATAAGACTGGTCACCCTCAGCTTGAAGCAAAAGATGTAGCAAAAGGGAAATTGTCATTAGGGACACTTCATCCTATGCCGTTCAAAAGCGAAAAATGAAAAAAGTCACTGTCACTTCATGTACTGACATTAGACTAGAGACAGTTATTGTGTTAGAAACTTCTGAAGCACCCAACTAGGTTATTTCAATGTGCAGTTCCAGCCAATACCTATTAAATTTATCTGGTAAGGTCCTTTGACAGTGGGCTCTGAAAGGAGAACCTAAGCCTCTTAATTCATACTTACAAAACATTTTACTGTATTTTCCAGGCAATTATAAAGGATTTTATTATGCAAAGGAAAGGCAAAGGAAAAGATTTTTCTTCCACTATTCACCTCTGCACTTCTTTCCTTAAGAAAAAAACATGAGATATGTGCAACACATTTATGTAACAAAAGACTTTTTGAACCTAACAGGGGAAAATCCTCAAGGGTAATATAATTCTTCTAATGCTGCCAATGTCAACAAATATGCAAGTTTCCTGATACTGAGTTACTGGCTACACAGAGTATCTCGGGCCCTACATATCAGACCTTAGTTTACCCTATAAATAGAGTGACTGTGGGCGAGAAGGGAGCAGATCCAAAGACTCATTTGGGAGAGCCTTTTTAGAAATACTTACAATATACAAACAGGAACATCTCCATCTTTCTCTGTTCCCTTTTCCTTTTGGACTTTTGCAGTCACTTGTAAACCACATTTTTTTTAAATCCCTCAGATCAAGACAGGAAATAATGCTCTATCTAATTCAGGAAGATGTAATGGTTTTGAAAATAGCATTTGTAGGTTTCATATTCATTCTTAATCCTCAGATGGAGATGAAAAAAATATGCCTAAAGGCCTGAAAAAGGCTAATAAATTTTTGTATATATAAGTCATCATACTCTAGACACTACTACATGGTAGTATACATGATTAATTTCCCCCTGCCCATATTTAGGGAATGGGATTGTCCGAGATATTTATGGGGTGAAAACATGCAAGTATTGACTTATCAGTGGTTTCTATCATATCTTCTGAACAACACAACCGCAACAGTTACATGCAAGCCAAAACATCACATTCAGTGGGCTGTGTCACAGTCCAATCTACTACACTGCATTCTGGAAAAACAAGAACCCCTACTCTTCCCTTCTACTACTTCCACAATGATTTGGGTGATGGTCTATGATGCTACCAAATCTAATTAACAATGTATGGAGACTGAGCTTGTAAATTAGGACACACAATAGAATTTAGGGATTTTGTGATAGCATAGATTCTTGCGAGGACAGCAGCATGGTGAACTATTAGGATTTATTTAATCTCAGGGGTTCTTTGTGGATGGGGAATGTATTTCCTTGACTCTGTCACTCTTCATGAAAAAGGAGGATGTGTATCCTCTTAGGACAGACTCTTAACACATCAAGATTAATTCTTGTGTGCTGTAACCTATGTTTTTCATTTCTCATAAGTAGCGTAAATGTAAATTTTTCAGTTAACACACACTAAGTTTTCAGAAAAAGTAAATGTATTTAAAAGCAAAGTCAAATACTGGCTAACATAGCAATATCTGATTAATCAGCCTCACCTCTTTCCCTGGTAAGATCATGGAACAGATCCTCCTGGAAGCTATGTCAAGGCATATGGATGACGAGGAGGTGATTAGAGACAGCCAACATGGCTTCACAAGGGCAAATCGTGCCTGACTAATCTGGTAGCCTTCTACGATGGAGTGACTGTGTTGGTGGATAAGGGAAGAGCAACTGATGTCATCTATCTTGACTTCTGCAAGGCCTCTGACACAGTCACACACAACAACCTTGTTGCTAAACTGGAGAGATACTGGTTTGATGGATGGACTATTCGATGGAAAAGGAATTGGCTAGACAGCCCCATATAAAGACTTGCCGTCAATGGCTCTATGTCAAAATGTAGATCAGTAAAAAGTAGTGGCCCTCAGGGGTCCGTATTGGGACCAGTACTGTTCAATATCTTTACTGGTGATATAGACAGTGGGATTGAGTGCACCCTCAGCAAGTTTGCGGATGACACCAAGCTGAGGGGTGCAGTTGATACGCTTGAGGGAAGGGATGCCATCAAGAGGGACCCTGACAGGCTGGAGAAGTGGGCCAACGCAAACCTCATGAAGTTCAACAAGGCCAAGTGATAGGTCCTGCACCTAGGTTGGGGCAGCCACCACTCTCAGTACAGGCTAGGTGACAGATGGATTCAGAACAACCCTGCAGAAAAGTACTTGGGGATATTGGTAGATGAAAAAATAGATATAAGCCAGCGATGTGCGCTTGCAGCCCAGAAAGCCAATTGTATCCTGGGCTGCATCAAAAGAAGTGTGGCCAGCAGGTTGAGGGAGGCGATTCTCCCTCTCTACTCTGCTCTTGTGAGACCTCATCTGGAGTACTGCATCCAGTTCTGGGGTCTCCAGTAGAAGAAAGACACGGACCTGTCAGAGCGGGTCCAGAAGAGGGCCACAAAAACGATCAGAGGGCTGGAACATCTCTCCTATGAAGAAAGTCTGAGAGAGTTGGGGTTGTTTAGCCTGGAGAAGAGAAGGCTCCGGGGAGACCTTATTGCAACATTCAGTGTTTAAAGGAGGCTTATAAGAGAAATGGAGGCAGACTTTTTTACCAGGGCCTGGAGTGATAGGACAAGAGCTAATAGTTTTAAACTAAAAGAGGGTAGATTCAGATTAAATACAAGGAAGAAATTCTTTACTATTAGGGTGGTGAGACACTGAAACAGGTTGCCCAGAGAAGCTGTGGGTGCCCCCTCTCTGGACGTGTTCAAGGTCAGGCTGGACGGGGCTTTGAGCAACCTGATCTAGTGAAAGATGTCCCTGCCCACGGCAGAGGGGGTTGGACTAGATGACCTTTAGAGGTTCCTTCCAACCCAAACCATTCTATGATTCTATGATTCTATAATTCTGAATTTTGATATACATATTAAGGCCTCATGAGGACAGCTGAGATCACAGAAGTATACATGAAAATTACGAAACAGTAGTAGCTAATTTCACAACCATACGCAACTGTCTTGTATGACTACAGTTCCAAGGTATTGGCTTACTTCAAAGCTCTAAAAGCTTGACTTCAAACGTCTAATGTCATAAGATGAGTAAAAGCAGAAGTAGATATTCCTTCAAATCTATGTGCATAAAAAACTTCCAGTCTCTGCAAATCACAAGCTGGATTTACTTAAGTACACACCACTGCCTGGCATTCAGTAACAAAAAATGCAGAGCGCCATCCTTGTTTTCAGTTTACACTACCAATAATATATCACGCCGGACTTAATCTTTGCAATGTACAATCTTCAGATTGAATAAACTTTAAAAAGATAAAACATCAGAACTCAGCTGTCAAGATAGGCTCTTGTATTTGTGCAGGTAAATTATGTGCAAAGGAAATTCAGCAGGGATTAGGAGCAAACAGCAGTTTATAAATTAGTTAGAGGCATATCTTTGTATCTGTGTTTTTAAATCTAATAACATGTTTTCAAAGGAAAACCTAACTAAAAAGAGCAGCTGCAGCTGAATAGTAAACCCAAGGGTAAAACCAAAAAGATTTTATTTTCAGTCAGTTTTTATGCCAGTAAAAAAACACAGCTAAGCCAAGCTCTATTGGTTATGCTTATGAAATAAAGACATTCTCTACATGTAAGGGTGTTTACATCTTTGTATGTATATGTATGTGGCATACAAACACACTCTATGCTACAACTTTTCATTTGAAACAGAAAATTTCTAAGAAGTTGACTAGAAAAAAGTGAAATACAAAAAGTCTATTTTTGAAGGCCTATTTGGGGAAGCTTTTTCAGTAAAAATATTTTGATTGTTTTGAAAATATGATTGCAAGACTTGCAAGAAAAGTAAAACTGACAAGCCTGGTACAGCATGTGAAAAAACCTGTAACCTTATTTATTCCACATTGGTATTTTGCTTCAAGCCTAATGTTCTAATTTTCCCAACAATCCTAATATTCAACAAAACTCTCTCATAAATGGGAGGAAAATTTGGTTATGCATTCACCTTATTGTCCCTTGCTATGTAGAAACTATTAGTATGAAAAAAAATCAGTGCTGTTTGATCATTACGATACAACACTGGTGGTGGTAATTTTTAATATATGGCATATGTTAGTGACTAAGTAGTGACCATGAAAAATTCTTGGTTTTATCTCTTTTAGTAGCATCCTGAAGCCAAGAGAAGGTGTATTGATAAGGATGACTAAGAATTATTTTCTCTTCTTAGTGGAGCTGCTTTTTGTGTAGGAAAGGTAGTGCTTTTATTTTTCATAACTGTTAAAATTTGCTATATTTTCTTCTTTTATTAACCTTACCAGAAATTGGCTTTTCCCAGGTATCACTATATTCCAAAGTTTTTTCCACATCCATGCCAATTTGTCTGGCAATATCCTCAGGTGTATATACATCATCTGTGAAACAAAGGAAATGAAATAAGTATCTACAGTGCAGTACCAAGTCATGGAATACTTGTATATTGCCTATGTTCAAACTCTAGCTAACATTAAGTGCGAAACTGGCATATACCGCCCACCTATGTTTTTACTGATAACTGAGTGATATCCGTTATCTTCCTATTCAAGTAAATAGAAAATGATCTGGGTCTAGAGACTCTGCAATTTAATTTTAAACATTCCTTGAAAAAAGTATATTTGGAAAGAGAGAATTAATAAGATTAAGAGATAACAGATTAATTAAACCAAGATTATATGTGGAAAGATGAGTACAGAGAACATTTATTTTTTCAGTATACAGAATTGTCTATTGATTCTTGCAAAGGGCAAAGTTCTCCTTCTTCCCAAAATAAGATCTTCTGTTATCCTCCATATTGAATGGCTATAGCAATTCTGAACCAAACATATACCATATTTGGAGTACTGGAGGCAAAGTGTACATAAAATTCAGTTTGTATATAAAAGAAAGTCCTACTTAAAAGTTATATAAACACATTCTTAAAAAACCTGAAGTAAATGGCATTAAAAAGATCAACACAACTACTCCTGGTACAGAACAACTGTTTCACATGCTGATATTTATAGGACAGCCAAACTGTTAAATTAATAAGCTTTCCCTACACAAAATAAGTACATTTACTTTATAAAAACTCTATATATGGTAGAGTGAGAAGATGCATTGCAATTTCATCATGTTTGTGGAAAAAAGAAAAAAAGAAATCACTCTTTCTCATGATATAAGAAAAAAAACCCTGAAAGTTAATGTATTTAAAAAAAAAATCTCAAAATTAAATTTTTTATCAAATTCCAACCCTATTCCAACATGATCTAAACATTTTAACCAAAGATTTCATAGGTTTATAATCTGGTGCTCAGTTTGTTTTGAGATTAAACTAGTATTTTAACAGCACGAAGCAGATAATTTTTCAATTATTTTACTATTTGGCCATTCTTGCTAGGCATACCTTAGGAATCCACAGTCCATAGTATGGATGCATTCAATGATTTACCTAATATTAAAGTAATGAGACTTGTAGTAAGCTGGGAACAGGACGTCGGTCACCTGGCCCCTATGACTAAAATTTCTGAACACATCATGTGGTTTTATACAACTGCAATTTGTCTTCAGGTAACTAAAGTGGTTAATTAGATCTTCAGATATACAAAGTGCCAGAGTACTAATCAATGTTTCATGTGAATGGTGTTCGAGGAAGAAGATGCATTAGAAGACCAGCACCAGCTTTAAAAAGAAAAATAATCTTGTACACCACAGGTCACAGTCAGAGTATATTTAGTTTCTTAGCTTCATCTCACAACAAACACATCAACAAAATGTAGTGGCACATTGACTAAATCACACTAAATCACTCATGTATCCGTTACAAGTCTAATTTAGTTTTGCATCTTACAGTGTCTACAGAAAAGCCTACCTCTATCCTGCTCCTTACAATCTAATTTAGAATCACAATCTTTTCTGAGTTATATCAGCTAGGAATGAACAAAATATTGTATACGTTCTAGATGGAAGTAGTAATTTTTCTTTTTTTTTTTCAGAAACCTGCACTGCTGTTCTGCCATTAGTAAAGTAGTAAAAAAAATAAGTCAAAGTTTCAGGGAAAAAGCTGATCAAACTAAAACACTTCCCTGTTGACAAAATCTCCTTTTTGAATGTTTCTATGCACTTTAAAGTTACATAAAAGTTTGTTTGTGTTTTCACACAAGGTACCTGCGCTGTCAAACAGCTTGCTGTATTTATCATAGCATTTGCCTCATGCTAGCTAATGTAACTTGCTTATTAGAAGCATTTTGACTTACCACATTAATCCAAACTTTTAACAGAACTGAGAATAGATGTATTACTTGCATGTGTGTTTGTGTCTTCTTTTACTTCTATCTTTTTTTCCTGGAAATATTCATGGGGTCTGGAACACCTTAAAACTAACCACTGCATCTTTAATAGCAGGAATACCATTAGAAGGGTGGATCATTTTAAGGGAAGAACTGGAAAAAGTGCCCTTGATAAAACAAACTGAAATACCTTCATACTCAAGTTCCTCTAGAACTTGGCTATACACCCACAGTTTCAAAAATAAAAAGAAAATAGAACACAAAGTTAATGGCCACTATAATGAAAACCAACTCTCTCTCTCTTTCACAAGGGAAATGGAAACATTGCTCAAATTTTGTTTGCTGGAGGTCATCTGGAAGCTTAATAGATCAGGAGCAGTTTTTAAATGGTTAGGATTAAATAAAAAAAATAACAGTAAGATAAGTTACATACACTAAGACAAATATGAAAAGCATCTCAATAAAATGAAATTCTATAGAAAATGGCTAAAACATGGTAGAAAACTGAAAGGAAAATTAGTCATGAGGAGGCAATCCCTGCCTCTTTCCCACGGTCAAGTTTACCACCTGGCACTACAGCTAGCCAGGAGACTGAAAAGCCTGCCAGGAAACCAGCCACAATCCCATGTGCTGCCGCTGGAAAAACCAAATTCCACTGCTTATCATCCGGGCCCTGCAGCTGCCAAGCACACTCTGCACGGGGTGAAACATCTTTGCACTGAAGCTAATGAGCACAATCAGGAGGAAGAACTGGAGTACATACAACAGCAGTGCCAGCCCAGCAAGGAATTAAAAGACCAAACTGGTCTTCAGACAACAGAGTATCCATGGCTCTTCAGTAAATGTGGTCTTCTTCAGAGAAAGAAAAAATGACGTAATGTCTAGAGGTAAGCCTGAAAACATATTGTTCCTTACAGTCCAATTAAGGATTCTGATCAGTTTAGATCAGAAGTTAAGGATTCTGATAAGCTAACCACAGAAATAACATATCATTTTCATAATGGAGGAAATAAACTTCCCCACCCCCAAAAATCATCCAGGAATCTTAAAATGTTATCATTTCTCTAAGGTATCACCTACTGAAAAAGAAACTTCTTTGTCTTTGCTCAGCTGGTAAGATTTAGGGTTCCAGGTTAGTAGAGTTCTCTTTTCTAAGTCTCTTCTGCAGACTTAGGAATTCTGTTCGCAATACATAATTGCACATTGCTTGGGAGAGATATAGAAGATTTAATTGATTATCTGAACTCTCTTGTTGTGCAAAATGATTTTTGTGAGCACAGCCATCCTTACAGGCTCAGACAGTGCATTTGCCACAATACTGTGACGTACCTGCTTTACAGAAGGCTTGCAATTTCACTTACTGATCATCAAGAAAAGTACAGACTGAAAAGTTGCGAAAAGCTGCAGTCCTCTCTCAACATGTCGTGAACATACAAAATTCATTGGTGATTTCTCTACACTTCTGAGAAGAAAGGTGCAGACTCACAGAAAGATATCAATGAGCTGCTATGTCAGCAGGGTTGGAAGCATAAAGAAATGGACAGTAGATAATAAATGCCAGCTCTTCCTTAGTACTTTGGACACCAAGTTCAACCTAATGGGCTCACTTGGCAGGACACAAAATCGAGGTAACAGACATCTTCAGGACATTTCTTTAACTTAGAGAAAAAAGACTTACGTAACTGAGCAATGGAAAATATTACTAGGAGTATCATTTTCCAGAAGAATTCTAAAAGAAGGTACTTATTTGCCTGTGAGTACACATAACATGCATGGCAAGGTAATAGTCTTGTGACGATTTTTGACATCATCTACCACAACGAAACTCTAGTTCTTCCTGGTAACTGGCACTACTATAAAGACATAGAAATAATGACGACTAGTGGGCACTCCAACAGGGACATTTAAAATAAGGTTGCTTAAAACAATACTTTAGCAGTCACCTAAAACAGCATTAAGCACAATAAACTACATTTAACAATTTACATGTCTACTATTACGTTTATACTGCTGATTTACTTAGCATGCATTCTTTTTTTGTTCTTTTTAATCTACAAATACCCCTGCCAAGGTTACTACTATATGGGAGAAAGGAAAAGCTTAATATACTAACATAATTGTGAATTTGTGTATAATTTCATAATGTGATTTAAAAGCCACCTACCCCTGGAGACCTGTGTGCATTCTGCCTATTTTGGTAAACAGACATTAGAAAGCTCACTTATAAGCAGACTGCCAACACAAGCGGAGAACAAAACTTTCTGACCCACAACTACTGCCATTGGTCATTTAATACTGTAACTGTCTCTGATGTCCTGGAATTTGATGGGCTCATTTCATTTACCAGAAGGACTATGAAGGGTCAAAGAGCATGTACCTCCAGTGAAGGCATCCACTCTGTATGTAATACAGAAGAGCATGTCATGTTCTAATCAGGCTATTTTTAATTCAATTTAAATATACAACCATCTCTTCTGAGGTTTTGCCATTTCTAAAAACATGGTGGGTTTCTCGAAATTATGTACAGGAATGAGTAGCTCAAGCCATCCTAAGGTCAACAACAGGTATTAAATGCCAAAGATACTTTGGAAATCCTAGTGCAGAGAAACATTACACAGACAAAAAAAGGAATGTGTAGAGTAGATGGTATATTACTCAGGTTATCCTAACCTAGCTAGCACAGAGCAATAGTATGGGACAATAGCACTGTTAGTAGTGGGTGAACAGCCAAAAGTTTGCTTTTAATATGTGTTTTATTTATTTATTTATATTATTTATTATTTTAAACTTGGATCATTGATGAAGAATCCCAAAATTCTGTATTTAATTAACCAATGGCTGCATTAAAAAAACCAACAGTATTTGTATTGACATAATAAGTTAATGTTTTATTAAAATAATGTTGTCAGTGCTAATTCATAATGAATCCATATTTTTTCATTTGATTGGATGGAAAAATCAAGTACCATTGAAAAAGGATAAATTATTTTTCCCCCAACCAAACCAGTGTTTCGAATAAACCTTTGTAGTTAAGGATGTATGTTATCCGTGTGTGTAAGGATGTGTAAATTGAAGTGACAGTTCTCACCCTCTATCATCCACCATCTTAGAACTTTCTTGGTGCTGAAGTATTCAAGCCTGAATACCGCATAGTTCTGGTACTGCATATTCTGAACATGAGTAGGTCTGACATGAACACACAACGTGCATAGCTAGTAGCTAGCAAGATACCTGGCTTGAAAGCTTTCCTACCAAGCCTTCTGACTTGAACAACTGGGTAACCCTTTTCAACAAAGTGTTTTCCAGTAATTATTCTGGACCTATCATCTAGAAAACATCAGTAAACAGTAGCCGCATAATAATCTATCTGTAAGTTTACACAGACTGAGTGTCAATATAATTTCATAATGACACTGAGGAGTTATACAGCATGACCAGTAGCAGCAATTACATACAGTACTCTGAGGAATTAACTTCTATAATCAAACACAATGAAATATTTTGCAGGACTCAAGATGATATGAGGAAGCCATATTCTTGTCTTTTACTGATAGGAAAACCCCAGAAACTGCAGCTGTACCTGTTGTTGGCACAATCCACTTTGGCAGTCCAAGTGCTTTTGTTCTAGCTGGTGCTAGTGTGGTTTTACTAAGAGCTGTGAGAGAGTTTAAGAAGAAAAAAGAAAAAGAAGAAAAAAGAAAAAAAGTTCCATGAGAAGAAAACCCAACAGACACTTATGTGATGCCAACAATTCCACATTAGAGAAGAAAAAGTAACACTTGCTGTGATGACACACACAGTTTGGTTTCTTTTTTTCTGATTTGGAAAGGCTTTATCTCTAGACTGATTAATTGAAAGAAAAATACCCTTTTTTCCCAGCAACACTTAAAATTCCACTGAGAATAGGTGAAATTAATTAATTAATTAATCTCCTCCCCATCCCAAACTGAATAAACAATTATTACCAGGTCTGGTCTGTGATTTACCAGGTGGCTTTGGTCTTGCAGAAGTGAGACGTGTTTTATGAGGTGCTAAAAGAAATAAGGTTCAGTTTAAATGTTAGTGTAAAAGCAACACCAATAGTGCAGTGTGATTTGCCAGAAAAAAGGTCCATGCACCAATGAGATACAGCAAAATGGACATATGAGAATTCTATGAGTTCCAATCCAAAATGCACGTTGAAAATGCTAGTTTCTTTAGTGGTCAGATGACTCCATCATGCAGTCTGACCAGTTACATTCATGTTTAGGTTTAGGAAAAGATATAAAATATTTACAGCCAGTTACCCAACTGTATATGGATACAGAGTTAGCTCTGCAAGGTATCCATGGCCTTAAGACATTTAATTAGGTTCTGTAAAAAACAAACAAACAAACAAACAAACAAAC